ATTGATACCGTAGAGAGGGTTCAGAGAAGGGCTACTAAACTGGTTCATGGATTGCAGGATAAAACTTACCAGGAAAGGTTAAAGGATCTTAACATGTATAGTTTGGAGGAAAGACGAGACGGGGGGATATGATAGAAACATTTAAATATATAAAGGGAATCAACACAGTAAAGGAGGAGACTATTTAAAAGAAGAAAAACTACCACAACAAGAGGACATAGTCTTAAATTAGAGGGACAACGGTTTAAAAATAATATCAGGAAGTATTACTTTACTGAGAGGGTAGTTGATGCATGGAATAGCCTTCCAGCTGAAGTGGTAGAGGTTAACACGGGGTGCATCACTATAAAAACTTTCAAGCATCATATCGACATTTTAGCAGCAGAACACAATTCTCATATAGCTGTATCTACAGATCTACAGATCGACCCATCAACTCAATACGACTAAGCCGCGTTCATGGGATGCTTGATACCCACCCCGTAAGAGGAGGGGGGGGGGACCTTTATAGGTCCATTAGGCAGGTACAGTGCCCGTGACATTACCAGATCTCCATGTTTGCCAGAGCTCCCAAGTTTTCCGGTAGAGTACAGAGGGAGGGAACAAGGATTTATACGATGTCTCATAAATCCATTGTTTGTGTAATTCCTCTATCAGGGTCTCCTTGTTGGGGAGAAGTGTGGATTTCCACCATATTGCTATCAATTGTTGCGCCGTTAAGGCAATGTGTAACATCATTTTCTTTACGTGTTGGGGCAGCACTCTAGGGAGGTCAAGGACTAGGCAGGTTAGAGGAGTGAATGCGAGAGGGTGTTGGGTAATATCTTGGATCAGGTCATGGACCTCAGTCCAGTAGTTAAGGAGCCGTGGACAGCTCCACCAAATGTGGTACATCGAGCCCTCCTGCATCTCCAACATTTTGAGGAGGTGGAGGGGAATATTTTCTGTAGCCTGGTTGGCACTAAGTACCACCGGTACAGTATTTTATGGTATTGTTCTATGAGGGCTAATGATTTTAATAATTTGAGTGGGTCTGTGAAAATTGTGTCCCAAGATTTAAGTGGCACTGGGCAATTCAGGTCACTCTCCCATTGTCGAGCATATTTAGTGGTGGAAAAGTGGTTGTAGTTAGTTATGGAGCCGAGGCACATGGAGATCGGTTTACAGTGCGGTAATAGTTTAGCTGACAAACACATTTGTTCCCATTCAGTGATCCTATTGGTGTCCCTGAGGGTGCCAGGGTGGCATGTTACTTCCTTAGACAGGTAAGATTTAAGTTGCAGGTATGAGTAAAGCGAGGAGTGTGGGAGCGTGAATTTATCCCTTAGACTGGAGAAGTCCAGGAGCTTCTCAGCAGCGAAGAGGTGGTAGAGGTGTGTCACCCCTCTTAGATGCCACAGAATAGAGTTAAATGTAGGGATAATGTAGGGCATGGCCCTGAGGGGGGTCACCAGGGAAAGGCTAGGGGTGCTGCCCAATCTGGGCCTGTATTTATCCCATATCTGGAACAGCAGTAGCAATTGTGTAGGGAGTAGGAGGTGGGTTGGCCTGGCACACGGAGGTGTCCAGAGCAGGTGAAGAAGTTCATGGTTGCCCAAAAGGTCTCGTTCCAGTGTAACCCACTGTGGACCAGGGTCGGAGACTATGTGAGGGATGGCTGTGGCCAATATTGCAGCATGGTAGTAGTATTGGACGTTTGGCATTGCTAGGCCCCCCATTCTCTTGGGGGTCTGCAGGAGAGCCGCTGAAACCCTGGCTTTGCCACCCGCCCATACAAATCTTCCCATATCAGCCTGTATCATTATAAAATATGAGGGGGGGAGGTGGAGGGGGAGTGTACGGAACAGGTACAAAAGTCTTGGGAGTATGGACATTTTCAGTGTCGCTATGCGATCAAACCAGGACAGGTACAGTGGCGACCAACGTTTCGATAGTTGATTACACCTATTCCACACTGTGATGTTGGGTAGTTGGGTTTTTGGTAACGGTCAGCCCTAAGTATTTTAGGGATTCCACCCTCCAATCAAAGTCGTAGGTGTGGGTAAGGGTCCTGAGTACCTGGGCTGGGATACCGACAGGTAGAGCCTGCGTCTTGGCTGCGTATACTGAGTAGTACGATACACGTCCGTAGTCTTTAAGCAGTTGGAGTAGTGTGGGTAGGGAGACCAGAGGATTCTCTATATACAGTAATACGTCGTCCGCAAACGCGTGGATCTTAATATGCTTGTCGCCCAGGTGTATTCCCTGGATAATGTCATTCTGTCTTATGCGGTGCCGGAGGGGTTCTAGTGCGAGGACGTATAGCAGGGGAGACAGGGGGCATCCCTGCCTTGTCCCGTTGGTTATGTTAAAGGTGGGGGACAAGAAGCCCGCTTGGTTCATCTGCGCTGAGGGTGAGGAGTAGAGAGCAAAAATCTGTTGTATTGTCTGTTGGGGAAACCCAAACTTGTACCTGCTCTAGGAAGACCCAGCCGAGGCGGTCAAAGGCTTTCTCCGCGTCCAGCGCTGGGAGAAGAACTCACCGGCCTGGCCTCCCCAGCTCGCGCTGCACAAGGGCTAGCTTCCGGGTATTGTCCAGTCCCTGTCTGCCCTTCACAAAACCAGTCTGGTTGTCATGGATCAGATGCGGCAAGATGGAGTTCATTATGTTTGCAAGGATTTTTGCGTCAGTGTTTAGGAGGGATATAGGTCTATAATTCTTGCACTTGTCTGTAGGTTTATCAGGCCTGGGAATCGTCACTATTGTAGCCAGCAGCATCTCCGGTGGCAGTCTACCTGAGGTAGCTGTTTGCCGGTATAGTTTCAGGAGCTGCGGCGCCAGTAAGTCACTAAACTCCTTGTAGTATGCGTTAGAGAGACCATCTGCCCCTGGGGACTTCCTCAGGGGGAGCTGTTTAATAGTGTGGGTGATTTCTGGGACTGTGATAGGTTGTAGTAGAGCTCGAAGGTGGTCGTCAGACACCTTGGGCAGAGTAATGTCTTCTAGGTAGTTTGCTGCGTCTAAGCTTTGAGGGTGCGGTATCATTGTGTCTGTATGGAGATTATATAGTTTGGAGTAAAAGGCCGCGAACGCATTGCTGATCGCTTGCGGGTCTATATGTTTATTGCCGTCGTCATCTAGAATCTGGGGTATCTTGGTCTGGGTCAGTCTTGCCCTAAGCCTGGCCGCTAAATATTTAGTAGCCTTGCCGGTTGTGTGGTACGTAGTGGCCCTCAACTTATATAGGAGGCTATTTGTTTTTTCTGCCTGTATCTTGGCGATCGTCGTATGTGTCTCATTTATTTTAAGTAAGTATTCTTGTGTGGGGTGAGCTTTGTTTTTTGTGTTAAGTTCGGCTAGTTGTGCGTACGCTTTTGTAAGTGTATTTAGGTTGCGTTTCTTGAGAAAGGAGGCCCGCTTAATAAAGAGCCCTCGTACTACTGCCTTATGGGCGCACCAAACCATATCCTCGGTGGTCTCCCCTGACCTGTTCGTTTGAAAGTATTCTGTTAGCGTGGTGCGGACTAGGTCCCGAAAGGTCTCGTCTATTAGTAGGGATTCATTAAGGCGCCACTGCCCACGGCCTCTGTACTGAAATGTATCGTGTCGTTGGAGGTGTACCGGACTGTGGTCCGACCAAGTGATGTCCCCTATCTGGCAGTCCTGTAATTGCGCTAAGGTGGCAGAGTCAAGAAAGAAAGTGTCGATTCTGGTGTACGTGTTGTGTACTTTGGAGTGAAATGTGTAGTCAGTCTGTGTGGGGTGAAGGGTGTGCCATGCGTCGTATAGGCCATACTGTATAAGCAGTTTAGAGATATCCTTGCATGTGTCGGCCATATGCGTTTTCCTGCGGCCCTCAGGGCGGGCTGTGGTGTCTAGCATTGGATGCTGGATAAAATTAAAGTCTCCGCAGAGAATGAGACCCCCTACTCTAGCCTCATCCACAGTCAGGAGGAGGGTTCGTAGGAACTTCGTGGCCTCCGTGTTGGGGAAGTATGTTGCTACAAGGGTGTATGGGGTGTTGTTCCAAAGGCCCACAAGGATAATAAACCTGCCTCTCATGTCTATAATTTTCTTATGGAGCGTTAGGGACGTGTCTTTGTTTATGAGGATGGAAACTCCCTTAGTTTTAGATTCAGAGAGTGCGTGGAATTGGGTTGGGTAATGCTTGTTATAAATGGACAGAGTGTGGTCCTTCTTAAAGTGGGTCTCTTGCACACATGCCACATCTACTCTGTCTTTCTTTAAGTCCCTAAGTAGAAGGCTCCGTTTACCAGGGGAATTGAGCCCCTTAACATTCAGGGTTGTAATTTTCATAAACAGTGACTTAAGAGGTTACTATAGGAGGGGGATAGTGATCCCCTGTCGGTATATGTGTCAGGGTCAGGGGGTGATAGGTTGTTTCCATAGGGAACCACTATATGAGTGCGTGGTGTCGATAGTGAGAAGCATGATGCAGGATGGGGCCTGGAGAGGGAGAGAGCAACTAGGAAGGGGGGGTAGTTTCCCGCAACGGCGGGTAGGTTAATGTTCAGCAAATCTGAGCGAAGATGTGGTCTGGTGCCACATCTTTGCCCAGACCTACATGAGCCGGGGGTGGCTGATGGTGTCTCCGTGATCTGGAGGCACTCAGGTCTTAGGGCTCGGTCGGGGCTTCTGGGAAGCTGAGGGGTGGTTGTACAACATCCCTAGAGAGCTATTAACTGTGGTTAAACTTTTTTTTTTTTTTTTTTTAAGTCGCCTCTGCGCTTTGTGAATACACAATATCTGGCTAATACGGCAAGTTGGGCAGTGTCATATTTTAACCATAGAGGCTATACAAAGGAGTTATAGCGGTTGAACAACAATTAACAAATAAAGTTTAAACATCTGATAGGCACATTTGTATACGATACCCTGCAGGGGCAGCCAGTCTGGGCTTAAGTCTGAGTCCAATCTTGAGTCAATCTGGGGACTTTTGCTTGGGAGGGTGCTTGGGGGCTTGGTAGCGGTATACCCCAGTCCTGCAATTTCCTCAGGCCTTCTGCCTCCGTCGCCACTGCGTGTATCACACCTTGCTTCTGTATCAACAATTTCGCCGGAAATCCCCAGCAGTATCCGATATCATTGGATCTGAGGGTGGTTGTAATTTGGGACAGCGATTTACGGAATTGTAGTGTGGAGGCCGACAGGTCTGCGAAGACTTTGATGTTGGAGTATGGCTCGGGGTGATAGAAGTGGATGCGGGCTCTGACATCCCTCGCGGTTGTGGAGGGTAGGTGGTTTGGCCTGCGTAGCCGGTGGGCTCTATCGATTACGAGGAGGTCAGGATGCGTAGATGGGACTAATTCCTGGAACAAGTTGGTCAGATATTTGTTCAGGTCTGCATTCTGAACGGATTCCGGAATCCCCCTGAAGCGGAGGTTATTCCTCCTGGACCGATCTTCCAAGTCTTCAATCTTGCGTTTTTGTGCTTCTAGCGAGGTCTCCAGCTCTTGTAACTTGTCCGCTAGGCTGTTGTGTGCCACTGCAAAGTCATCGAGTGATTTCTCCACCTGGGCCGTCCTGCTCCCTATTTCCAGGAGTTCTTTGCGGAGGTCTGTGGTAAGTGAGTGTATCTGTGCTGTAATACTGGCTTGGAGCTTGTCAGACAGTTCTGCCATCAGGGATCTCATGCCTGAGGCTGTGAGGGGGCCCTCCTCTGAGACTGAGCTTGGGGACGGAGGAAGGGAGGGTGTGCACTCCTCTGAGCACTGTTCGACGCCATCTTGGATAGGGCCGTCCTTACCCTTCCCCGTCGAAGTTCTTGCCAAGAAAAAGGAGGCTTTCTCGGTTCTGCTTGCTCCTCTGTGACATGTTGAAGCGTGGGTCTTGTACCCTCTGTTTATAGTGCATGTAATGCCGCTTATTTCAGCCCTGTTAGACCCGAGCCGCGTGAGCTTCACATGCGTGCAACCGTTCCCGTCGAGCTCCAAGCCACGCCCCCTTAGTGTGACTTTTAAGCATATTCATACGTGTATAGATTGTATATTGACTTTTGGATACTGTTCAGATATTGTGTATAGAAATTTCTGTGAATTATGCTTTGTCAATGATGGAGAGTTTATTGAAAAAGATTGCTAAGGTGTCTAAGCCAGAAGCAATAATAAAATGTATGGAGGGTGCATTAGATCTGTGGCTTAATGCTCAGGATTATGTGGCCAGGGCAATTATTGAAAAGAAATTGTCCAAATCTAGTGGTAAAATTGCTTTGATTTATGCTGCCCGTTGGATTGCGGAGAACTAAAAATCTTTGTATAAGCAAAAAGAGAAATTAGAGGCAGATATTTTGAATTGCGTAGTTGCAATGAGCAGCTTGTAGAAAGGCTGAAGGATGCAGAGGGTGCTATTAGGATCCTTGGTTCCAGCAGCCAGAAGGAGGCTGATCATTCTGCCTGCCTTGAAGAAATTGATGATTTAAAATGTAAACTAAGAAAAAGAAATGCTGCTACAAAATATGGGCTGAAAACTAATTGTGGAGGTTTGTGTGCAACAAAGATGGAGGTGTTTAATAATAATGAAAGAGATTGTGAGTGCAGTATTCCTGCAAAATGCACCAGTATCTACAGAGCACATAGAGCACATATCTACAGAGCACATAGTGGATGCACAGGGATGTGTACTACATGAATGTGACCCAACCTCGCCACTGTACACTGGAGAAGCCTGGTTGCTCGCCTGCTGCCTTTGGACTATGGCCCCATGTTAAAAGACATATTTTTTCCCTGCAGAAAATACTTATTCATGCTTTTCTGCCGGGTGTTCGGTAGATTCAATCTACTGAACAACCGCACAGATGAATAGACCACCTGGGAGCTGGAGTGTGCCGGCAATTAACCTCCCTGAAGCTGCGGTTAACCACAGCTTAATTGACGAATCCTGGGTGGCCGCCATTCGTATCACGAACACGAGGTTGAATTACTTCCCAAATTATCTCCAGGGCAGAGAGGAGGGATTGTGATGCATTGTGGGATGGTTGAAATGTGTCAGTCTGTGATTGGTCCTTTTACCCTTTGTGTCCCAGTCTCCCATTTGGTCCCCTAGGGGAGTGTCCACCAGGTGGGAGACCTGCATAAAAGTCGGGCAGTTAGCCCCAGTAAATGAGTTCCTGCTTAACCCTCAAAGTGAAGTGTCATTTCATTATTGGGGGAGGATTTGATTTATTGTACGCTGTTCCAGTTTGACTGCTAGGAGTGTAAACCTATTCGCATGGTTTTTCCTATTTGGCTGCATACAGCATTCATATGCTTGAGAGCATTCATATGCTTCTCCGGTTCGGTGGTTGTGGTGTCTGCTGCAGTGCTTGGAGTCCTCAGGAAACGCTAGGAGCATCCTTCAATGGAGGTACCCAGTTGGGGTGCCAGGTGATCCGTTACAAGATGTAATGTTAAAAATTGATCAATTTGAAAAAATACACAGAAACTTAAATGAATTGGATATTGTCACGTATTCATCCGCACATAAAAATGTGATTAATGGTATTTACTGTCCTGACAGGAAAAGTTGTACCGAGCAACATTACCGTCCAGACAGGAAAAGTTGTGCAGAGCAGCAATCATGCACATGAAAATCTGGTAATTACTTTTGGGGTCAAAGGCCAATCAAATCCACAGGAGGGTTTTTGTGCTGAGCAGCAATCATGCACATGGAAACATGGTAATTGCCTTTGGGGTCAAAGTCCGCTTACAGACAATCGGATCCACAGGAGGGGTACTTTTTTATTCTACTCTTGCTCATTGCCCTGTCGTGGTTTCATGCCTATGGTTATCCGAGAGTGCGTTCCTTATCTTGATTTTCTGGTATTTGACTTTGGCTTTGTTTTGACTTCCATGATATCTGGTATCCTTGACTTCTGGCTTTCCCTCATCTTTGTGTCTGATTCTGTGTCCCTGATCTCGGCAAATTATTGGCTATTCTTGGAGACGTTAAGTCTGGCCATTCTAAGGTCCGGTTATACGTTATCCTTAGTCCTAGGTGTGACACAGTACTGCGTGCTGGATCAAATTGTAGTCCTGACATTACAACATGGCCATAGATCCTGCAGATGTGTGTCAGCACACAGCAGCTCGTGAGAGAAAGCTAGAGGAGAATGATCACCGTATGGATCAATTTGCCTGATCCGTATGGATCTGACTTTTAGCAAGTTTCTTACTAGGATGGCTCATTTACAACCTGAGGCTTCTCCAATTATGTAACCAATGCCTAATGTACCTCCACCTATAGTATATAAGGCACCTACGATCTCTTTATCTCCACCCCCGCATTTTTCTGGTAATATCCAGAAATGTAGGGGTTTTCTCAATCAAATTGAGGCCTCATCTGGTTCATTTTCTTTAGATAGAGCTAAGATTGGGTATCTGATGAACCAACTTAAAGGTAAGGCCTTAACCTGGGCTAATCCATTGTGGCAAAATAATAGGAGTATCGCTCATTGTTACCAGGAATTCCTGGTGGAATTCAAACTGACGTTTGAACCATTAGGCAGAGAGGAAGATGCCTCCACTGCCCTAATGCATATCAAACAAGGGAACCGGTCTATCTCGGGTTATGCCATAGAATTTCGTACCTTGGCATCTGAGGTAAACTGGACTGACAATAGATTAACCACTGCTTTTAAAAATGGATTATCCGAAGTTATACTTGATGAAATTGCTGCCAAAGACCTACCTAAGGGGTTAAATTACTTTATTACCTATGTTATGCAGATCGATAATAGACTCAGGACTATGTCACTAGCATTCTCGATTTTCCAAACCTGTTGTCCCTGACCTCTCACCACTGTCTGAACCCGAACCTATGCAGTTAGGGGTTACAGGACTGTCTGGGGCAGAGAAACAGTATAGGAAAAGAGAGAGTCTGTGCTTATATTGTGGCAAGAAAGGGCATATGGGAGATGTTTGTCTTACACGTCCAGAAAACTTCTGCACCTAAGAACCTTAAGGGGACAGGTCTTAGGTGTAATGGATATGTCCTCTAGGAATTCCCGAAGCAGATTTCTCCTTGACATTTCTGCCTTTTGCAACAAGGAGATCTTTTCATGGAAAGCCCTGGTTGACTCAGGTGCCGCTGGTAACTTTAGTGATTTGTATTTTGTTAAAAAACACACTATACCAGTCGAGGAGATGTCATCACCTCTAGCAGTTGAGGCTATTGATGGGAGTCCCCTACCCCAACCTCTTATTACCCATGAGACTTTGCCTATTTGCATTACGATAGGAGCTTTGCATAAGGAAGATATTACTTTCCAGATAATCGCTTCCCCCTCTTGTCCCATCGTATTAGGGTTCCCTTGGCTCATGAAGCACAACCCTCATATTGACTGGACTAGAGGGGAAATACTGGAATGGGGTAGACACTGCGGGAAAGCTGCATGTTATCCATTTCTAAAAAAGTGGACATTGTTGCTTTACCCGCTGCTATGTCTCCGACTCCCAAAATTCCCATACAGCATTGGGAGGTTAGAGAGCCGTTTAGTAAAAGCCAGACATAGCTCTTCCTCCACACAGATCGTATGATTGTTCCATTGATCTGTTGCCTAAAGGAGCGGTATATGCCCTATCCCCACAGGAAAGTAAAATCATGGATGAGTACATCAAGGAATCTTTTTTTTTTTTTTCAAGACAGGACATTCAGTACATAGCATATACAGTTACATCAAGACATGTAGAAATAGGCATCTACTCTTAGCTTTCTAACTTTGTACATCGTCATCATGAATGCACAATCAAATATGTATATTTTATACAATATGCAATTGTGGAGTATGTGTTGCCTGATTTTACCCAGTTGGTGATTCACAACTTTACTTATTGCACGACATCCCGCTTGGTCTTTTATAGTAAATAAAACGTGTAGCAACCGTGCAGTAACGTACACTGAAAAATGCTAGGGGTGCCATATGTAATCAGATTTGCTGTTATATCTTCCTCACTTTTCTTATCTCCGTATGCACGGTTGTACCATAATAAAAAAAAGAGAAAAGATAAAAAGATATAGAGTAAAAACAGAAGAGAAAAGATCATCCTCAAGAAACTGATGACGTGAGATGAGGTATTTAGGGGTGGGGGGTTGCTCAATATTATGTCCACCTATATGGGATTTGTATTGCCAATATAAACCCACTACTGACTCACAGAGCTGCAGTTTGCTTGAAAGTAGGCTATTTAAAGTAGTCTCTTTTAAGTAGAAGTTAAAACAACAGGAGTTTGTTGGAGAACTGGTGGACTGTGGTTGGTATTAGTTAATACGAAGTGAAAAAAAAAAACAGG